ACACTGCCACCCACCCACCCACATCAGACGGGCTAGCCAATATGGACGTCTCAGACTTCCTGTCCATGCAGAGTCCCGAGACAGCCGCCAACATCGAAGCTCTGCTGCTGGTTGCGGATGACTTCAGCATGACCACTGACAGCGGTCCCTAAGAGAATTTCCACTGTGTTTTACTTTTCCACCCACAGCTCCAATAATTCTTCAAACAGATGCCTCATCCTTCGCCCTGTATAGTTTGTGCATGTACAACCCCTCTGTCTGTGCAGTGCATTCTGTTCTGTATGGCACTGTGTGGCATATATACAAACCTGTACAAACTAGGAGTACGTTTTCGATTTCTGCAGTAGTTGCAGTTAGTTTGCTCACAGAGATTTAGCAGCCTTTAGGCAAATCAATTCTGACAAGAAGCAGTTGATCCTTTGTGGGAAACATTGCCTGTATATATTAATCCTATTAATATCTACTCATGAACTGATGAAATGTTGTCAAAGCACTGATAATATAAAAAGGTTGTGTAACTGAGCAGAAAGGAAAAAAAAAAAAATATCTGTATATCTTCGTACTGTACCGTAGGCCCTATCAAATGCTTCAAACTGGTATGCAACTGACCAGAATGCACTGTATATTGGAGGAATTTGCTCTTATTTTAATCATGTTTGATTTAAAGCATCATTTAGCTCATATGAAGTGGTTTCCTTAGTATTCTTATTGGAACATTTATGTAATCGGAAAAATGTGATTACTAATTGAGAAGAACCTATGATTAGCTCTGCCTTTCTTTAAACGGTATTAAGTCAATTGGTAAGTTGCCTCTAACTTAAACTAACTTAACTTTTTGTATGTTAATTTATTTAAATGCTTGATTCTTTTATTATACAGGTAAAATTCTACTTTATTAGAGTAGGAAATGAATCTAATTTATTTCAATCAGGTGTGCTTTTAAGTTGAATTTTATTTTATTTTTTTTTCCTCATTTGGTTACTGACATGCTTAATGAGTTTTGCTGAAAGCAAGTTTGTGAAAAGATTAACCTATAGTTTAATGCACAGTAAAGCAAACTGTTGTCAAGGATCTCCAAGATATGACCACACTTAAGTTTGCAACTACTGTCACCATCCCATGTTTTCAGGGTCGTGACCCTCTCAGGGATGCATCAAGTCATAACTGATCCCTGTTCCCTGAGTTCGTTAGACGTGTTTCTTTTTCCCAGAAGACTCACACTTGCAGTGGCCCTATGTTTTGCTGCACTCTTCCCTGTTTTTTGCACACTTTCTTGTAAAAAGAATAATTTCACAGCTTGTTAGCTGAGAGGTGACACCACTACAGACTTTTTTTGTATACAACTGCTGTAAAGTAGCATTTAAAAGCTGGTGTCTGGAGACTGTAGATAGAGTACATTTTAGTGTAAGCATCTTTGAGAACCTTGTAGATTTCAGGATTTGTATTTTTGTATAGAATTTTGAGCTCAGAGTTTGAACCTAATCTATCCTGCATCTTTACATTCCCCACCCCAATTACATTTATTTAGAGCAGTTTTGAGTTTTTGCTGTGTTTAGTTGAATTGTTCTATAACCAACTGGGCTTCTGTACAGTCACCATTTGTATCAAAAAAATTTAACTTATAGCCTGTTGGTAAGAGTATAATTTAATAAGTATCGTTTCACTTGGGACACAATGCAATGAAGACAGAACTAAGGCATTATTTCTAGCAGGTTTTGATATGGAAGCTTCTTGGCCTAACAAACCATTCTACAAGCCTCTTTGCCTTGATCATCTCTCCTTCACATGTCAAAATATTGATTTTCATCTCTTACATGGATCACTTTGGCCAAAACAGTAAAAGTTTTGTCACGTCTAGTTTTTGTTTTCCAGAACGGATGTTTGGAAGAATGTAATTAATTGCTATATGATGGAACAGAAAGCTGACTTATTTCATGGTCATAGTTAAAATTTGAAAATCTGGCCGTTTTTGGCCATTTCACATCAATTAAGAGCATCTTTGAGAGGCACAATAATCAGGATATGTTGTCTTGAGTCAGTAAACTCAATGCTGGGCTCAGTTAAAATTTAAATGTAGTACTGAAAAAGTTAAGCCACCCCTTCTTTGTATTTTGATAAAAGCAGAACACATTCTTGTAACCTTGTTTAAGGATTCAAGCAAAGGTTTTTCAAAAGTTACCTTTTCATTGTTTTCAAGCTGGTCCTAGTCCCTAATCATCACTGCTTGAAAATTAAATCACAGATCCAACATAGTTGTTAAATTATGACAGGTGTGTAAAGAAGCTGTATTGGCTCAAAGCTCTTTGGAAGCAATTTTTAAAAATGAAAATGTTTTGGCTTTCAAAACTGCTTTTTCCCCTCGTATCGGCTCATTAAAAGGTGCCTACTTTCACAAACTATGCTTTAGTCGAGCGCTGAATAAGAATCTGCAACTTGTATTCTACCTTAAGCATATTAAGTGTAGTTGGCTCAAGCCCAAAACAACATTTTTCCCCAGCATGCTAACCACTTCTTTAAAGCCTGAACAGAAGTAAACTATTTTAAAGCAATATACAAATAATGTGTGGCTTACAATTTTTAATATTGTACTGCAGTGCTCAGAATCCCACTCGCATAGTGCTTGAAATCACTCCCTGTATTTGAAAATGTCTGAAAAAAATCCTGAGTTAGACACTAAAACTACTGCAAGAAAGCCAAGCACCCATTACTTTCATTTTTACATGTACTGTCAATTTACAGTACAAAACTATGCAATTTAAGGTGGCATTGGAATTTAAATACTGACTCAAGACTTTTTTGCCTTCTACATGATTTGCATATACAGTTCTTAAGCAAAAAGTGAGTTTTCTGCAGACTTGTGCATATTGAAATGAAGAATGTCAATATGGACTTTAGAGTGTCTTTCAGGTACAGTGCCCATATATTTTGCAGCCGTCTTTGATTTATTAAATAAATTGATTTATTTTAAGAGGTCTTCAGAGAAGAATTCTGTTTTAAGAATTAGTCAAACATACAGCTTTCTCTTCGGCCCTTGGTGTTGAATTTTGTCAACATATCCTTTCAACTACATAATGTCAGCTTTTATCCTAAAAACTAAAACTTACTGCTGCCAGTATTTATATTAGTGATAGTTTCACAGCCCAGGTTTGTTTAACATCTACATGAGAAATTAGTTTATGTTGACATTTGGAAGCAGAATGCTTGATGTAAAATGTTTCACTTTGTTCCCCCACAAATGACCAGTTTAACATAGGAAACCATATGCTTCCAAAGGAATGTCGTACACCCAAAGAGAGAACTTACGGATATGTATTTTTTAAAGAATGTATAATGTGAAAATGTTTGCTTGTTTCGTACAAAGTGATAAATACCTACGACTTGAGAGCAATATAGTACTAATAAAACCTTATTCATGTCACATTAAGCATTCAGTGTCCTTTGACTTTTGCTTGCCACTTAACAGGATTGACAGCTTTTATTCAGTTACATTTCATGGGGACGTTTTGGGGAGTGGCTCTCCAGGTTCTGGCTGCGACTTTAAGTATACATCCGGTAGAGATTTGTCCTGCAGAAAAAGAAGCATTAGTAGATGTTATGCAAGAAAGGAATTGGGGGCAAGAAAAAAATAAAAATGCTCACCACTAAGACCTTCAGTGCTTTCAAGTCATCCAAGACAGCGTTACACATACTTATTTTGTCCGTCAGGGCAGCCATCCTGGTAGAAATTTCACCGACTTCCTGCAGCATTGAGATAGATTTTGTTTGTAGGCATGAAAAGCATTATTTTGGGTTTTAAAGCACCTGCAAGCTTTAATTATAATTAAACACTTGGACTCCAGTACTGTCGTTTTAAAGTTACAGCCATTTATTTACCTTCACCTGTACTGCTGAAACTGTTTGGACAAACATCTCTTAATGTTGGAACTGACCTGGTGCACCAAGTCCAGGATATCAGCACCATCCTCTAAGACGCCTGCTAACGTAAACATAATTACGATGACAAACTACTTACTGTTTTTAATTTTGGTTGTCGAAGAAAACTGATTTTACCTGTGCCCGAAGCCATGGCCGTACATATAATTCACTGGCCTAGTCCGTCGGTATTTATTAAAGCAGTTACAGGTGCTTTACATTTTCCTAATTGATCTACCGCGTGATGACGTAATGCCTAAACGTGCAACAATCCAGTAACTGTCAAATAAAGGCCAATAGAGTCAAAAAATCTTTTAAAATAATAATAATAGTAATAAATGCAATGTATATAGCTAATATGAGTATTTGTTTCCTAGAAATATTACTTAATAATACATTTAAGTAATTGCATTTCATAAATTACTGACCGACCCATATGGTGGGTTGGTCAGTGGGTGGAGCTAGTACTAGTACGTGATAGGTCAATCTACTACGTGCAGGTTAATGTTTGGGCCTGTTTAAGAAAGAAAAACGGAGGAATATATATTTAAAGAAATACTATTACATTTTGACATATATCTTTTTTTCATGTAAGATTTTCGCATTTAGTTAATTGTTTAAGTAACTTACTGACACATTAATGATATAATTTATAATAATATTTATTTATTTATTTATTTATTTATTTATTTATTTATTTATTTCCAGCATTAAATAATCTTATGTGTAAAATATTTTGGGGGGAATTATTTATTTTGTGGGTTATAGCTCTTTTGTTTGTAAGGGGACATGGAGGAGAAAAAAACGGGCTGTGTAGATTTGGGCCATTATATAAATAATTTAATCTTATCAAGTTTTGCTTCTGTAGTTCTGCAGACATCTTGGCTGGGATTTAATAAGTGAATTTTAGGGTAATAAATAATTACATAGTTATCTGGCTTTAAAAAAATACTTTTATGTTCTTTATAATTTCGTTCTTTTTGTATTGTTAAAAATATGAACAAAATAGTGTAATAAAAGAACTTTGACCTCTCAAGTTTGTTTCTAGTCAAATAGGCAGTTGTGCTTTTTAAAAAAAGTGACGTCATAATTTAGAGGCGTAACCCGGAAAATCTCTGTCATTGCATCAGGCGTCAACATGCTCCTGGTTGGTGGAATAACACGCTTGTGTTTCAGTTTAGCTTGATTTTATGCGTTCGTTTGGATTTGTCGCTGCTGGATTGATCAAATATAGAGGATCGCACTGTTCAGCGGTCGCTGGTCGACTCGGAACCGACATGTGTAAAGAACCGAAGACTAAACTGCTCCGCTTATACCCGCCAACCTCCAACGGGCCGACGGTTCATCAAGAGACCCAAACAGGTACCTGTGACAGCGTGTCACTCAGAACGAAAGAGTATCCCAGTCAGTTTATATAAACAGATAACTGTAGATGTAGCTAAATGGGGGAGAGTTTAACTAACACACATACTTTTGACCAACAAACACGTTAGCTTTCTGAAAATGTTGCTAACTTTGATTTTTTTTTTTCTTTTTACCTAAAGTACCCTTTTCAGTCAAACATTGCGAAGGCAAAGTGAATCAAGGATGAACTGTAGTCTCTGTCTTACCATAATCCAGGATAATGGAAATAAACTTTTTAAGAAATAACTTTGTCCTCTTTATTACGTGCAGTCTGTTGTTTCCATGTTTAGTTTGAATAATATGCCATTCTCATGACCATATTGCTACGGTTTCACGGCATCAGAATATTCACAAAAATACACACTCAGTGGTTACTTTGTTAGTTACATGTTGGTATGGTATCATCACTCTCTTGCTGTTGTGCATATATAGGCAGCACAGCTATTACAGAACACTGTGAACCCATGATTTTAGCTTTGTGACTAATATAGGGATGGAAATGGTGAGCAGAAATACTCAAATAGAATATATAATGTATGTCCTGTAAACTTTGGGTTTCAAATTGTTCCAAGAAAAATCCCCCCCTCCCCCCGCTGCCCCCCACACACACCATTATGGTACCACCAGCATGAACCATGGACACAAGGCAGGCTGGATCTGTGGTTTCATGTTGTTTTTATGGCAAACTTTGACTATCATTTGATCATCAGAGGAGTCTATGTTTTTCCAATCAGCTGTTTAATTTTGTTGAGTCTGTGTGAATTTTACACAATGTGATCGGCTGCTGTCACCAATCTGCTTTTAGTACATTTCATTAACAGGCAGTTCAAGATGCTTTACAGGATGAAAGCATAAAACAAGAAACTTTACATTTTCTTAAACGTTGACATAAAAAAAAAATCATCATCGTCGTAGAATATTGTAAGAAAAACTAAAATTAATCTACAATCAAAGGCAGCTCTGATTTCCAGCAGTTTTGCAGTGTACATACCCATATATGTATGTAATTGTTTGTTTTCATCTTAATGTTATATATTTATCTTTAATGTCTGTATGCTGTGAGCGTGTGAAACTGAAGTCAAATTCTCTGTGTGTGCACACTATCTTGGCCATTACACTGGTTCTGATTCCCATTCAGACCAAACTGAATGCAGCAGGGGAATGGCTATAAAAAGTGTAGGTGCAACTTGCTATAGGATAACTAATCAAAAACTGAAGGGGTGGTTCTGTATATATTTTTCAATGACAGTTAATATAATGATCCATCTTTTACTGAAGAAAAGATGGATCACTGCACCCATAAAGGCCCAAAAATGTATTTATTCATGCCAGTGAGAAGCAAAAGTAAACTTTTCACCAGAGCTGTAGATCTTGCTATTTATTAGATCTGCTTACGGTTTTGTTTCCCCTCAGATGACTCTGAAGTCCTGAGCTGCACAGTGAAGGCTCTGAAAGACGGTCACATTGTCGCCGTGCCGACAGACACCATCTACGGCCTGGCGTGTTTGGCCCAAAACTCTGAGGCTGTCAAAAAAATCTACGAAGTGAAAGAACGGAACGGACAGAAGCCGCTGGCGATCTGTGTTGGAGAAATTCAGGATATCTATCAGTGAGTGTGCTGATCTCAGTTCTGATTAGACTCTGACTTAGGAGAGTCCTTTAATTCTCTCTTTTGGACTCATGAAGTCACTGCATATTCTGTTTAGTTATTAATGAAGTAGGGGACCACTGACATCTTGTTTCCTGAGCAGGTACTGTAAGGTGAAGGTGAAAGAGGGTCTTCTAGGTGATTTACTGCCTGGTCCTGTCACTCTTGTGTTTGAAAGATCTGGAAAGCTGAATACAAATCTCAATCCTTTTACTTCAGTAAGTCTCCTTCTTTACTTGGACAAGCATTTAAACAGAATCCCAAGTGATGTGTCCATGTAGGCCGTCAGCTGTTATTGTTTTGTCCCTTAGCTTGTAGGCGTTCGTATTCCTGATCATGCCTTTATGAGGCGCCTCTGCCAGATGTGTGGGGAACCACTGGCACTGACAAGTGCCAACATCAGCTCGACGACCAGCACAGTGGAAGTACATGTAAGTCTAAGAAACATGTTTTTTTTTTTTTTTTTTTTTTTTTTTTTTAAAAAGTGTGGACCTTTTTTTAACGCTAATTGGGGTTTTTTCCTTTTAAAGGGGTTCC